AGCAGGAAAAGGAACCGGTTCAAATCCTACTTTCCCGCGTTTTCTGTCAATTCATTGTGTGTTCAATAGTTAGATATGCAAAGAAACCTACTCAAAATTCTGCAAAAATCAATTTAAACATACATATTTATATATGCTCTAGTTAGTGTCTTGTAAATTAGAAAAAATATATTTAAGAAACATGAAAATATTCTCATCTTTTCAGTGAATAACTTACTCTGGCTGTTTGATTTAATCCAGTGAATTCGATTTCACCCATATACTTTTGCATAATTGATGCTCTTCTTACACTGGATTGTTGTTGAATTCCCCCAACACCACCACCACCGACAACAACGCCTCCAGTCGCGCTGACACCACCCCCAGGTGGAACAGTTGTTGGTAGAACATTATCCTGTGGTGCTATTGAACCATTTCGACTACTACGATGTCGTATTGTTGATGTACGATGAAAAGGGATTTGTTCTGTCATTTTTTTTGTTGTTTATATACACTACACTTAGACGACAATGATATAATTTCGATTTAATGATAACCACATTTGATTGTCAGTTATGTGAGAGATTTCCAATGAATACAGGATGTGGGGACACTCAGAAATAAATGGATGACACTCTCTTTGAGGAGTGAAGTAACTTCGTTATCAAAGTATACATTGTTGGTGATTTTATAAATGTCGGTACGCGATTACATTAAAACTTGTGTACAGATAGATAGATAGATAATCCACAATACTATCGGGTACTTTTGTTTGAAATCTTATAATATTTGGAATGTTTATTTCTGACAAGAATGTTTGGCGTTAATTTTGAAAATTGAGTCAAATAATCCTCTCTGTGTCTGTATGAAAAACAAAAAGTTGTAGATAAGCACAAGTAAGGATTGGTGAATTGACTAATCTCCACTCAGAATTGTTATAAATAATAATAGTAGTAATGATAATAATAATACTGTTAAAAAAAGTATTTTACAAAGTTTGCATATACACAAATTCACTTGAATTTATCCCTTCTCTATGTATAGATGTATATGCAACAACAGAGGAATGTTTACACCAGTAAAATTGGCCAACACTACTACTACTACTTGTCCATTTCTGTATAAACCAATCAGAATGTGTGTTGACCAAGATTTTATCCCATTCTCCCACTCTCAATCTCTCTCTCTTACTCTCTCTCCTCAGTTCAGCTTCTGGTCATTGTCGTCATTATTTCAATATAAATCATAGTAAAATTATGTTTTTTGAGGAATTTTTAGGTTTCTTTTAAAATTAATTTCAGTATAAATAAATAAATTAACTTGAGAACCAAAGTTATCGAAAACTATGATCCTTTTATGGATCTCTTCAGTAGGAATATTAATTTTAATTCAAAACAATTAGTTCCCTTTATGAATTTAGATAAAGCAATAAGAAGACGTAATTTGTCTGAATCGTGTAATGTGTATTTGCGCAACACATTTCGAACAATCTGATCACACACGGACTTGTCATAGGAATGTGTATATATGAAATTAATAAAGAGGTAAGAGGTGAGAAAATAGACTTAGGTCAAGTTTAAAGGACATATTGAAGGTCAAAGTAACAATGAAGACCACTAAACCAAATAACAGAGGTAATAGTACATCTGCTATGGTGTCAAAACAAAATTTACCAAGGAAGGTTTAATGTGATGACGAATTGTTTTTGAACGCATAAAGGTGGCTTAAACTTTCTAATTGCTAGGGCTTCCACAAACTTTAGGATACGCCCCAAACACGTTTTATAGATAGGTTTAAAAGATGTGTTAACGTCAATTTTATGTCCTGTTTCTATAATATGTTTTGCAATAGAGGAGCTAGGTCTCCTGTTCTCACCATTAATGGGTTCTGAAGATTCCATTTGTTTCTGGAGCCATTTAGGAATATGCTCTGAAGCCCTTACTTGCAGAGATCGATGAGTCCTCCCTATGTATGTGTGTCCACACGTACATTCAAATTGGTAAATACAGTGGGATGTGACGTCATTTTTCGCATGTTCGAAAGGCTTAGATAGATATATTGGCTTAACATTCTCTATTATTATGATATTGGCTGCATAAAAAGTCTTTTTGACAGCAGCGTTCAGTCTTTGTCTAGTTATCAAGCTGCTTTGATGCCCCATATAGGGTAGCTTGATGTACACGTCTTTCTTAGGGGCGAGTTGGAGAGTGGGTCTTGGTGTTCTGACTACTTCATATCTCCTGATGAACTTGTCTGGATAATTGTTATCAACCAGAGTTTGTGTCAACTTTCCTTCTTCCGCATCAAGTGTGTCTTCAGTGCATATTCGTTGGATTCTACTGAAGAGGCACCTTACTAAGGCTCTTTTGTACCGAACAGGGCAAAAACTGTGGTAATTAAGATACTGTCCTGTCCAGGTAGGTTTTCTATAAATAGATCTTTTTATTGACCCATCAAGCCGTCGACTAAGCAGTATATCTAGGAAAGATAAACAGTTATCTTCCTCTTCTACAGATGTAAGTGATATGCTATTTTGGACTTCATTCATTCGATTTAAAATTGAGGTAGCAGAACAAGACTTATCACTGATGATTACAATATCGTCTACATACCTTCTATAAAGTGGCACATTTTCGATTAAATCCTCCGATAAATTCTCAATGTGCGACATATAAATATCTGCTAAAAGGAGCCCTAACGGACTTCCCATAGCAACACCATCAACTTGGCGGAAACAATCGCCTTCAAATGCAAACCTAACATTGTTAGTACATAGAAGTAATAAATCCCTTAAATAATTTTAATTCGTCGAATAAGTATTTCTTAAGTATTGGTTTTCAGAGAATCTCACCTACTCAATCTTACTTTAGTTGCTGTCTGATTAACCTTGTTTCTATATAAGATCATTTCTGTATTACCTAATTTATTATCTAAACTTGACAAACCTCATGTACACACACTTATATAATTATATATAAATGTGATTGTACAGCTATGTGAATGAATTCGCTGGCGAAAAGAGTCTCTTCGCTGAACGTCTTCTCTTTTTCAGAGATTTGACTGGTTGCAGGTCTGCTCACGAACTGACACTTGAAAACCAGAGAGTACTGGACAGGTGTTTCGTCCCACTAGTTTTGGACTCTTCATCAGTACTTACTCACTGCCAGGATTTGAAATCAGGACCTTAAATTTACAAAGGAAGATAGTAGACCAATGGCCAGTGCATAAATTCCATCTTCTACCAGCTCATAATTTTAGCGCAGTCACCGGTCACTGTCATCAGTAATTATTTGTCTTCACAACCTATATGGTGGACCCCACTAGTCATGACTTCTGATTAGGACAATCTAGGTAACTTTGCTTCGTAGCCAGTCGCCATCGAGCAACAGATTAATTTCCAAGAGTTAGGTGTAGGAATTCGACTGGTTTCAAGTTCATTTTAGATTGGTGCAAGTTATAGTGTGGTGGTGTGATACAGACAATGTGTGCCAACAGAATATTATTCTCACATATTCCCACAGTTAATTTCGGCATTAGCAACAGAATACCATATATCTATTTGAACATTCCATCTGATGTTAGAGACAGAATACTTTCCCACAGTTCAATACTGCATTGGCAACAGGATACTATGTATATTCAAACATTCTATTTTATGTCGTTTAATGTAAACCGAAATCACACGCTCAGTGATTGGTTAAAGAATATAAAATGTACATATATAAACAGCGGTTTGATCAATGAAAATATACATTGACTCTCGTGTCTTGCCTTCTTTTGTTACAATAGGACCACTGAAAACCACGTAGTATTGCACAGCGTGTTTTCCTTATTTGGGAATCCGGTATTATGCACCCGCCGAACTTCGAACCCAGGACCTTCACGAATTGGCAGAAGTTGGAATTCATTAGTAGCGGATCCGAGTGGCTGAATGGTCTACGGCCTCCCTCTCTCCCAGGAACACCTCGCGTTCACCCCATGGTGTGCAAGTACTGATGAAAAGTCCCCGAGTAGAGCGAAACACCTGGAAAGCACTCCCTGGTTCTCCAAAAGTTTTCTAATTGATGTCACCTTGTGACCAGGCTTGTGATGAATATTTCGTCTAGCATTCTACTTTACAAACTTTTTAACTCTTGAGGTTTTTTCCATTCTTTTTTAGTGTTACGCGGTATACTTTCCTGGATTACTTAAAAAAAGAGTTACATTTTAAAGGATACTAAAAGCTATCAGTAGGTTGAATTTCGTGCCTATAAGTCGACTAATCTATACGGCAGTTGACTGCTGTTTGGAAACATGGAAGAAGTTGGCTTAAGTCATTCCACACGACTCTTCTTCCCCTCTTTTGATAGGACAAGAAGCAATTATGAAGCACTATAAGCTAGCATCACTTAATACGAAAATTCAACGATACCTTATTTGACAAGCATTTTATGTGATAATAAAAGTGTTAGACATGAAAATGCTAACTTATTACGAAACAGTAAATATACGGCTCTATCCATTCTTCGTGTCATTAATGCACTGTTGTCATTCTTATAGTTCCTTTGGATTCTAAGTAGAATGTGGGGTTTCTGAGGTACAACTCCACTTCACTCTGTTTTCTGCAATCATTTTTGGCTCACTCCAAGATTGCCCACAGGCTGTCATCTCCTTCTCTCACGATTTTCTTCACTGTCGACCTTGGACTCCTAACTCATTGTTTCCCTCTCGAGTTCCACTCAACGTCTGGGCCCAAAATGGCACACAATGGTATTCTGAGTGTGCTTCTAGTCCATCTCCACCTTCTTCGGTATATTTGTTTAAGTCTAAGGTTCCTGGTTGGTTCATTTTGAATCCCTTGTTGCTTATCCTTTCTGCCCGGTCACCTATTCTTCAGTTTTGAATCAAGAGGGCAGTTGTTGACGAAAGTCAGAAGTAGCCACTTGGAAATGCTTTCCATGACGCACGCGCCAAGTCTCTAAACGAAACAGAAGCGCTGACTTCAAATTAGTGCTAAAAAGTTGGTGACTTATCAAGCGAGATTTTATTCCAAAGACTTTCAAGGAGTATACGAAGAACATTTTACGCAGCACACCTATGTTTGTCATTCTCTAGCCGACGAATGATTGGGACGCAAACGAAGGATAAGCTTGATAGTTTTACCACATCTATGTGCATTTATCAGTTCAACTGCACCTGCGGTGACAGTTGTGTTGGGCGTACTACTAAACAGCTTAGCCAACGTGTTAATGAACATCTCCCATCGTAGCGGTTAGGCAAATGACAGACAAAAACAATCCGTAGCTCAATTTTGTCACACTTAATTGATAGTGGTCATGTAGTGTAGAAAACGAGAGCCTTCAAAGTGATTCATCGTATTCCACCGAATCTTTCCAATAGACTTCGTATTCGTTTACTGCACACAGCTGAGGCGATAGGCATTCGAACTATTAAACCTAAACTAGGCATTCAAAAGAAGTTCGTCCAGCCATTATTCCTCCTTTGGCCTATTAA